AGGTTACTTTTTCACTGCTGCTGTAACTTTGAATGGTCACTAAACAAACTGCTGTAAGTTAAGAACTACCTGTACAAGGATCTCATCAGGCTACCTGCAGGCTGTTGGGAACAACCAAATAAGGGATTCCTCTTTTATTCCTTCCCTGCAGGGATACCAAGCTAACCGGCCTCTTAACTTCAAGCACACCACACACCATTCTGCAGATTTCACACCACCAAAACCATGGATTGGGACACATTGCAGATTATAAAATGAAATCAGGCTTTGAATTTAGAAAAAAAAACGAGCCAGCTAGACCAGGGGTATCAAACACAAGACTCAGGGGACGGATCTGGCCCATGGGGTCCTTTGATCTTGCCCACAGGGCCACCGTGGAAACAGTGAAGGACCGGCCTGGAGTGCCTCTGCCAGCAAAAACGGAGCTGTGGCCCTCCCGAGGTCCATTTTCACTGGCAGATGATTGCAGGAGGCAGTCACAGCCGAAAACGAAGTCCAGGAGTCTCTTTTTGCTGGCAGAGTGCTCGAGCCACTATAGGCACATCCCGACATGAGTGACATCGAGCTGGCCATGCCCCCCACAGCACTCAATAAAATTGAGTTTGACACCCCGAGCTAGACAAAAGTAAGATTCATGCTATAAGAATTTTTCTTGCCTTATAAGAGCCAGGTTACTCAGCCATATCGATACTAATGCTTAAAGACATGCAGTTTTAGACTGATTTAAAAGATGTCTAAGAGAGAAAACAAATGAACTGGATCTTAGTTCCTAAAGTTAAGTAATATTTATTACATTTTAATCCAGTCTTTATTATTTTTATAAATAATTCAAGGCAGTGAATATTTCTAACATTCTTTCCTCCACCTCTTTTACCCACAACAACCCTGTGAGGTGGGTTGGGATGAGAGAGTGTGTCTGCCCCAAAGTCACTTCGCAATTTTTCATGGCCAAGGCATGACCAGAACTTACCGTCTTCTAGTTTCGAGGCCACTACCTTAGCCGCTGTACAAATAACCTCGAATTACAACCATTCATTCAGTGATCATTCAAAGTAACAACAGCATTGAAAAGTGAATTATGACCATTTTTCACATTCATGACCATTGCAGGATTTCCCAATGTTCATTTTGTGATTTCCTGACAAGCAAAGTCAATGGGAAAGCCAGATTCACTTAATAATATTATTAACCTAACAACTGCAGTGATTCGTGTAACAACGGTGGCGAGAAAGGTCGTAAAATGGGGCAAAGCTCTTAACTGTCTTGCTTAACAATGGAAACCTTCAGTTCAATTGTGGTCGGAAGTCAAGGACCAACCTTTCTGCAGTATCTATCGCCACCTTCCTGTTCTAGGTAAGGATCTATAAAAGCAAAGGTTCCCCTCATACTAATGTGCTAGTCATTCCTGACTCTAGGGGGCGGTGCTCATCTCCGTTTCAAAGCCGAAGAGCCAGCGCTGACCGAAGACGTCTCTGTGGTCATGTGGCCTGCATGACTAAACGCTGAAGGCGCACAGAATGCTGTTACCTTCCCACCAAAGGTGGTTCCTATTTTTGTACTTGCATGTATATATGCTTTTGAACAGCTAGGTTGGCAGAAGCTGGGACAAGTAACGGGAGTTCACTCCATTACATGGCGCTAGGGATTCAAACCGCCGAACTGCCCGCCTTTCTGATCAACAAGCTCAGCATCTTAGCCACCGCATCTATAGATGAAGCCATTTCTCAGGACAGAATGTCTCTGAAGCTGTAAAGGTGACCACATGAGGATGCCAAGGTTTAGAGACAACCTGACCTGAACTCGATGAATCTGAAGTGGGCACGCTCACGGGACTCCGGTAAGAATTCCACCAGTTTCCTGCTTCTGGCCATTTCTTCAGGGCTTCTTTAACCAGCTTTTGATCAGCACTATTGCTGGAGCTCTGAAGACCTTCTTGTCCTCGTTTCAGATGTGCCAGGAGTTCAGATTTTTGAAGCTGAAGAGGAGAAGCTGGAAGCAGAGAGAGAGAGAGAGA